TTAAATCCAGTCCTCTTTTGATGGGCAGCATGGTTGCTTCTAGGTTCTTGCTATTGTGAACAATGCTGCGATAAACATATGTGTGCAGGTATCTTTTTTATAGAGTGATTTGAGTTCCTCAGGATATATTCCCAGTAGGGGGTTTGCGGGGTCATATGGGAGGTTGATATTTAGAGCTTTTAGGAATTGCCACACTGCTTTCCACAGAGAACAACACTATTTCATAAGTAGCCTGTTGCCAGTAGGTCAAAGATTGTAGAAGACTACAAAAAGTAATTGACGTAACCTGAATAAAGATGCTTCCCCAAATCACTCCCATAAGGACTAGCATAATTATCTAGGAAAACCACTTCAGATTGGAAGACTGGAAACAAAAGATTCCTGATATTCTGAACAAGAGTTTGAGCCTTGTACCTTTCAGATTTAGTTATATGAAATGATAGAATATCACACATTTCTTATTTAATGATAGTAAAAAGTATTTCCACCTCTCTTTACTTTTTTACACCATTGTAACACTAGTTCTCTATTTCATGAATTGTTGCTTAATCTCTAATTCAGACATTTTAGTATGTAAGCTCCAGAGTAATAACAAAATCATTTTGGGTGCTCCTTTTATACCTTTCCAAAATCTTTGGATACAATTGATATTATAAATATTGATGAATTATGATGACTTTATGGCAGTTTTTTCATAATCTTTGCAATATTGCAATAAGTTAGATGAAGAACCATATGAAAACTGATGTTGATTTGAAAGACAGGTCCATGAAACTGCCTCGTTCTAAAAAAAATACATATATATCTACTTTAAAAGATAAGACATAAATTCTAGAATATCAAAGAACATGTCAGAGTTTTAAAAGTTTATTCATAATTAAAATAACTTTTATCATAACTTATCTTTACCCACTTTTGTGTAAAACAGATTTTTATACTGTATTTTATTCACTCATTCATTAGTCATCTATCAAAATGCTATTGACTATCAATTAGGTACTATAGGGAATGAAAAACAGAAATAGACTTTTGCCTTAAAGAAGATTCCAGAAAAGCATAGAAACATAAGGAGATAGTACCATATTAATATAATAAATAATTTATAGGAGAGGTGATCATTTAAAATTCGGGGTGGAGTAGAGAGACGTTTGGGAATTTATATACACACTTGACAGAAGCAATGACTATACTTGGCTGTCAAATTTTAGCATGGATTTTTATATTGTTTTTAATTCCATGGTTTGTTTTATAAGAGACTGTGAATAGTAAAACAGTTATTATGTACAACAGATAAGATACTAACATCTCTTTAATTTTTAAATTTTCTTCACAATGTTTATGATAGTATGATTATAATCTATTGTATTATGATCAATTTGTTCTCTTGGCTGTATTATTCTGCTGAATAACTGGCAACAACAGATCAATTAAAACAAAGATACATCTGTTGTATGACTTCTAATGGATGTATAAAATGTTAAACTTCATTTTATGTAAAAAACACCATCAGGGAAATTAGATTAATTTTCAAAATTTCTTAAGAAAGTATTATATATTTTTTCTAATTTTCGGGTTGAGTTTTTACTATTCTTAGTCACAAATGGCAGAAAGCAGTTCCAAATCTAAATTAATTATACCACAATAATGACATTTTCCAACTGTCTCATAAGTTTGCAACATTTGTTAAAAGGGAAACTAGTAGAGCAAAATGTGTCACTAGTGCTGAAGAAAATGGACCTGTGGTAAAAAGTGTACCATCTTCAGAGACAAAAATAGTCCCTGAAATTTAGCATTTTAGCATAACAATTGTACCAATGAACAGTTATTGAATCCTCACAATGTGCCGGCCTCTGTGCTGAGCAGTCCAAGTGCATTATCTCTTTAGCCTTAACCTTATGACTTAAAGATATTGCTATTCCCATTTTATAGAGAAAAAGAATGAATGTTTGAAAGTTCCAAGTAGTTTTATTATGATCAAATAGCTAGTAAGTAGAGCAGCTGAATTTTTTTTTTTTTTGAGTTGGAGTCTCACTCTGTCGCCCAGACTGGAGTGCAGTGGCCGCTCCCGGCCACCGCGGCCTCGACCTGCTGGGCTCCGGCCATCCTTCCGCCTCAGCCTTCCAAGTAGCCGGAATGACAGGCGCGCTACCACGCCCAGCTGATTTTTTGATTTATTGTAGAGATGAAGTCTTGCTGCCCAGGCGGGTCTCGAACCCGCGGACTCAGGCAATCCACTCATCTCAGCCTCCCAAAGGCACGGAATTATAGGCTGAGCCACCGAGCCCGGCTGCAGCTGAATTTAAAACAGGTCCTCAATTTAAAACAGGTATAGGTTTAGGCGTAGGTACTGTCATTATCCCCATTTTACAGATGAGTAAAAATGAGGCTTAGTGAGGTCTCAATAATTTGGTTAAGCTCAAAGAACTAAAAAAATGGAGAAATCTGGTATTTAAAAGCAGGTCCTTCTTACTCCAGTGTCTAGCTGTATTTGTCATTATTCCTACTAGATTTTTACAAATGTAATTTGTAAGCATTCTATTTGCATTTCCGTTGTTCTGACATATGGAGGACAAAATTCAGGAAGTAATGCATCCAGATGTTGATTGGCAAGGAGGACCATTATTAAGAACCAGAAATTCGTCACAAAGAAAATTATAATTTATTTAACTTTATTATGTCAGGGCTACCACATTAAGGCAAGAGTGTTTCAGGGGAAAGTGATTTACCTTTCCTAAATTTCACAGTAAGAAAATTTGCATTAGAAAATTTGCCCAAGTCAGACTCAGCTAAGTCAGCAAGAGTTCTCTGACTACTCTTCCACAAGTGGTCCAGAATAAATTCATTAGTTTAATTCCTTTTTTGTACCCTTTACAGATGCACTATATTGTACCCTGATTATTTTTATTTTATCATGTTTTGTTTTTACAAACTATAGTTATAAGGTCCCGGGCAAGAACAATGTTTTTCATCTTCTTTGCTAAAAGTACTATAATAGGCATTCAATTCTTAAAAAGTGATAAAAACTCAAAAAACAAACTGGAACTTTAAAAAATACTTTTGCATTTTACAAATAAATTTTTAAAATTGAACAAAGGTATCAGTCACTCATTTTTCTTTATGAGGGTTGAGGATTAAAATACTATATTCAAAATAATAATTCATTATATTCCTTGTCAAATATAATGAATTGGAAATATTTATTGATTTGCATTACAATTTGTGATAGTCAGTGTTCATTAATTATATGTTGTAAAACTCTTACTTTTAGATATAAAGAAAAGACAAGATAAGGAAACAGAAGTTGTTTGTTTTGTTTAACAATCACTTAACCATATGAGATGCCATTTATAAGCTGAGAACTACTACAAATGGAGAAAATTGTTAATACAAATCTTGGAAAATTGTGTTCAAACAAAAAATGGAATTTATAATTTTCTCAAGGCTATTTGTATATTACTACAGGAGAGGTAGATTGTATATTTGTTTGTGTGTATGTTTGTATGTGTGTGTTTCTGGGCATGTTGTTGTGTGTGTTTTTACCAAAGACAAAGAACATGGTGTCTTCTATACTTAGTATCCCTTGGCATTTGAAATAGTATTGTGTTTTCATTTTGTGTAGATACATTATTCAGATAAACTAGCCATTTCTATTGAGAGAGACATAACCAGATCCTGTTTGCCAGCAACTGTATTTTTAATAATATAATTTTGAATTTATACTAAAGTGAATAGTTTGGTAATTTAGATCACACTTGCTTTCTACTTTCTACTATATCAGTATAAATTCATTACTTCTAAAAATATATAATTTAAGAAAACTATTAGTCATTAACTGCATTATTTCTATCCCATATTGTCATGTGGATATTCTTTTTTTTTAAACAATAAAAACAGGTTTTAAAACAAAAATGTTAAATAATAAACTGCCGCCGGGTATTGGTTTGTGTTCCTTATCATCTATAAGGCAATTTTATGAATGTTGCATCATAGGGCTACATTTCTTCACATTTAAAACCAGTAGTTAGCGTTTTAAGTTAATGCCAGTGTATCTTTAAGAATCTCTATGAATAATGAAGCCATTCATTGTGTTCGAGGATTTTGCCTTTTCTCAGTGATATGATTTTCTTCTCATTTTAAAAAGTATTTAATTGCATTGCTCATCCTCTTTTAATAATTAATAATAATTTTATTAGCTGTATAGAATGAGAGGGGCAAGATTTGCAATATCTAGTGCTGGGAATCAATTTTTTCTTATCATGACTTAATGGATATTATAATTACATGGAGAGGCAAAAATATAAATTAGCTGGGTAGTTGGTTGGGGCTTGCTAGTTTATTGGTTTTAACTTGGGCAAAGCCCAGAATAGGCACAAGGAAAAGGAAACATATCTGAGAGTGCTGTAGAAGTACTGGCCAAAAATTTCTGCAACTTACAAACATTCCTCATTTTAAGAATAAACATAGAGACTTTGAATAAAGCTATAAATACTGCCAATAACAATTTCTGCTGGTTCCATAGCAATTGACAAGGAATCCTGATAATGCACAAAACTTAGTCTTGAAAGGTATATATGTTCCTTTAATCCCCATTATGCATTTTGACAGCTTTTCACTTTCTTAAACATTTTTAGTGGTTTTTTTTTTTTCAGCTAAGACAAAAGCATGTTATTTTGAGTGGGAAAACTTGGCACAGTCATCATTATAATAGTACTTTTTACTTAAGGAGCACCTCTCACCTAAGGTTTTCAGAGTGCTTTTGAGTATATTTCATTAAGCCTGTGGGAAGGAAGTCTTGGGGAAAGTAATTTGTAGGCACCATTTATTTGACACATCTATGGAAATATAATCCAAGCCATGGGGAGATAGTAATTCTCCTCTATAGTGCTCTAGATATGGATATGGATATACAATGATTTCTAAATTTTCATTGCCATTTGTTTAAAAATGGAACCAGATATTGGTGAATTTAATATGCTTTTTAATCTATTTTAAAACAAATAATGTTTTACTCCCTCCAGCAACTGCTTCGAGAACGACAGCAGATGGCCAGCCGTCCCTTTGCTTCTGTTGATGTAGCACTGGAAGTAGGAGCTGAACACACAGAATTTCTGCGAGGACCATTAGAGGTAGGAACAGTGGTACTGAAAGGGGACCACTGTGATTTGCATATTTATATTGCTTCTCTAATCTGCATCTGCCTGTGAAGCCAAACAGAGGCTGATTATCTAGAGTTGACAAGATTCAGTTACATATGTAATGCCATTTTCAAGGCACATAGTTTTAACAGCGTGACATGAGCTGTAACAAAAGCCACTGGAGAATCTATCAGCCTAGGCAAGAGTGACAGACTGCTCACCTGGCAGCCTTTCTATGACAGATAGGAGCTGAAGGAATTTAAGATATAGGTATGATGGAAGAAATAAAGCACCTATATTTAGTCCTTGGAGTACCCAAGGCCCCTAGTTTACAATTCACATCATCTTTATTAACCAAGTTTACTATAAAAGATAGGTGGAGATGAGTTGCATTTTAATCACATAGCTTCATTTTTTATTGTTGAGAAGTGTAAAAGAAAATAAATATTATTTGTTGTTAATGGTTGTTTTATTGCATTCCTTTATTTCCAAGACAGAAATAGAGTATGGTGAAACAGAAATTATTATGTGCAAGTAAATGTGGTATTTGAATCCTAAAATAATTCATGAAATGGTTTCTGAAAATAATAACCCCCAAAGAAGAAAAATTCACAGGTTCTGATTAATGACTAGTCAAAGCATTTTAGGGGCATACTAATTCAATTGTATGTGTATTATTTTTATTCATATCTTATTTATGGTAAGATTTTAATAGAAAGATTAAGAAATTCTGTAGAATTGAATTTTTTTGTCATTTTTTTAAAAATGCCCTTATTTGACTAATTTATGCTGCAATTTTCAGATTTTGATTTTTGTCAAGAAAAGAAAGGTATATGACAATATAATTCCTCAAAAATCTATTTATAAATATGATTTTATCTGTAGTATTTTTGGTTATTCTGAAAAAATAAACCTACATCACACCTCATGAATGCTATACAAAGGGTCAGTTTTTAGAGGGAATAAAAAATTTTGTGTATGTTTTTCTATGATTTTTTAAAAGTTTCTGTGTACTTGATTTTTTACCACTCTAAATCACGGGTTACCATGGAAACTTAGAACATTAAGGAATTTATGAGTATATTTTCCATTACTTGGGGGGGGTTATCTTTTTTAAAAAGAGACTGATTAAATGAAGGTTATAGTAAGTGCTCTAATTTCATTTTGATTCCTTGTTTCAAATAACTTTAGTAAAAAAAAAAAAAAAACTTTTACAAACAGAAAACCTGGATTATTTGAATCCAATTTTTTTTCTTCCCATCTATTTAAAACATTCTCCAACACTACTAAACCAAGAAATAAGAGAAAAATAAGTACAAGTAATACATACATAGATCAAGGAGGAAAAGTAATAAAGAACTAGAAAACTAACAAACTTGGGGAACAAATATAACACACACATATGTATCACCATAGTTTGTCAGTTTCACCTTAATAGTGTTCAAGAATATATTAAGTGCACATGTGTTCAGAATCATTATATCTTCTTGTTCTATTTTTTAAGATTATTTTATTTTGTTTTATTTTTTATTTATTTATTTATTTTTGAGTTAGAGTCTCACTCTGTCGCCCAGACTGGAGTGCAGTGGCCGCTCCCGGCCACCGCAACCTCGACCTGCTGGGCTCCGGCGATCCTTCCGCCTCAGCCTTCCAAGTAGCCGGAATTACAGGCATGCGCTACCATGTCCGGCTGATTTTTTTGGTTTATTGTAGAGATGAGGTCTCACTGCCCAGGCAGGTCTCGAACCCGCGGGCTCAGGCAATCCACTTACCTCAGCCTCCCAAAGACGCGGGATTATAGGCTGAGCCACCAAGCCCGGCTAAGATTATTTTAACGTTAAATTTTATTTTGTCGAGTTTTAAAATGTCTACTACTTCTTTCCTTTAGTTCATATTTGTCTGGTATTTCTTATTTCATTATTTTATTTCCAACTTCTCTGTCTACTTTTGTTTTTTACCGATCCCTGTGAAAAAGACCGTTAGTCTTTTTTTTTTGTCTATTCACTCTGATTCTTTTTTTAAAATTAATATTTACATTGATGTTAATTACTGTTCTATTAAGGCTTTTTTAGCTACCCCATTGTGGTGTGTGTGTGTGTGTGTGTGTGTGTGTGTGTGTGTTGTTACTAGTCTTGCTTCTTTTTGGTTCTTTTTCTCAGTTTCTGTTGATAAATTGATTTTAATCTACTAAATTGAGTATTGTATATTCTATTTTCATGTTTCTGATAGTGTACCCCTTCCTTGTCAAGATTCGTAGTAATTTTTCCCTAGCAATATCTAAAGTTTATGAAAGCTTATACTCCTTCACTGCCCATTCAAACAAAATTAATAGTTTAGCATTCTCTTAACTTCCTCTTTTTCTTCTGCCATATGTTGATACTATCTGGAATTTTTGATCCAGATGTTATGGATATACTTCTTTGTTGTTTATGGCCTGTTTAAATAACAATGAACTTTCTTTACTCTCCTTTACTTTTTATGTCTGGCTGTTTGCTCATGCATTTCTTTTATTTTTCACTAAGGTAAACCCTCCAGAAGATTCTTTCAAGAAGTTTTATGTGGCATTCTCTTTGAGAATTTAAATGCCTAGCAATATATTTTGTCTAACATGTAAACAACAGTTTAATTGAATATGATGTGACTTCTTTAACTTTAATATATATACACATATATACACACACATATATATATTAAATATATATATGCACATTATATATGTATATCCATATATACATACATATAATAGATTCTATCTATAGCATTTTTAGTTATCATATATATTGGTCTCTCTATATATACATATATAAAATATATTAAAATGTCACATTTTATATGATTTCAGTTGCATAAAATGTCCAAAATAGAAAAATCTATAAAGATAGTAGATTAATTCGTGCCTAGGGCTGGAGCATGGGGATGGGAATGAAGGAAAATATTGGGAGAGGACTGCTAAAATGGTTCAGAAATGATGAAATGTTCTAAAATTGATTTTGGATACATAATTCTTTGTATTCTCTAAAAATCATTGAATTGTACATTTTAAATGGGTTAACCATATGGTATATGAATTATATTTCAATAAAGCTGTTTTCATAAAACACTAATACTATACATTAATAACTGGATCTTGATTTCCGGATAAAAAGGGCTTTCCTAAATGAGAATGTGCATATAATTATTTTTTCCTGTAACACTTTCAATTTAAGTTTCTGAAAAACGTGATGCAAAAGAAATAGAGACATACCAGTTATTTAGACAGCTGAGAAAATAAAAATAAGAAAAATAGCAAGAATTCTAACATTAACATAATGCTGTATAGTATATGAAGTATTTATACAAATGGCTCTGCAGCCAAGAAATAGCAAACCAGATTGAGTTGTTCGTCTCCTTTCTTGACTGTAAACCTGGAGATTACATGCAAGAGATAGGAAGGTTGATGGATCTCAGAGACATACTCAGCAATTCACACAAAATGTTCAAGAACACACTTGGAATGATAACAAAGTGCTTAGGCGTCTTCTGAAAGGAAATGTTAGTTTACATTAGGAGAGGGCAGAGTCCAAATTGTCCTGGATGCATTGATACCTACCCAACCTTCTGTGGGGTAGGAAAGCTGCAGAACCAGTCCTGCCAGCCAAAGCCTGCAGACTGGTGGCAGGGTAATTCCAGAGCTTAGCTCAGGTGAGAAGTCTCATATAACTATACACATAAATGGTTGGGTAACTCCTTCTCCCACCCAACTGCTCATCTAACAGTTTACAAAAATTACATCAATTTATGTGTATAGCTTTCATTATTTGGGGAGCTATTAGTCTCTCTCTAAATATATATATATAGAGAGAGAAATTTTGTGTGGTCATATGTTTACATTTTGAGGGTATATACCTAAGAGTAGAATCACTAGATCATATGATAACTTTTTACCACTTGTTGAAAATGACTGTCTTTTCCATTGAATGGTCTAGGGACCCATATTGAAAATCGATTGACCATAACTGTGAGGATTTTTTTTCTGAACTCTCAATGCTATATTACTGATCTATCTATCTGTTTTCATGATGAGACCACACTGTCGTGATAACTATAGCTTTGTAGTAAATTTTGGAATCAGAAAAGTGAGTCATCCAGCTTTATTCTTTTTAAAGATTGTTTTGGAGCTTGAATTTGAACTTCGTAGATCATTGGAATAATTGAAGGGTTTAAATTGAATTTAAGACACGGTTTTCCAAAATTTCTTTACATATACTATCTTAATATCATTTGAGCCTAGGGTCGATCTTATAAAATAAGCGGAGCAGATTTCCTTTTTCCTCTTTACTGTTGAGAAAATTGAGATTCTGAGAGGTTAAGACCTTTGTTCAAGATCATAGATTCGGTCATCAGCAGAGCATGAACCAGAGGTTAAATCTTAGGTTGGTCCAAGGGTTTCTTTCTTACATTACTTTTTTATACATGCTGATTTTTGTTCAAATTGAGAATACATCTTAGGCCCTTATATACCTATAGAATATTTTTGTAAAGCTACTTATAAGAATAGAGTTAAAATTTAGGTAGTATTCTTTGATGCCAGGTGCTCAAATAGTCCTGGATAATTGTGTAGCTTAAGGTGTAACTTTCAGCAAAAAAACTTTAGGCTTAGTATGGCAGAGAATTCCAGCAGCTACCTATTGAAATTTAAATGACTTTAAAGAAATCAGGTTGATTTACTAAACTGCAATTAACTTAGCAAACAAGATTTCTGTTCTTTTTATATTAGAAGTTTCTCATTAAAATAACACATGTTGTTTATCTATGCCAATAAAGTATCAGAGCTCTGTAACTTGCTTTAGAAACAAAGTAATTTAAAATGGGTTTATTTGGTATTTATAGACTACAGGCTAATTAATAATTTTAAAGACAGTATATAGCATGTATTATTTTGACCAAACTAATAATGTTATTACTATTTTATGTATATATTTTAACCATTTTATACTAGATTTTGTTTTTAC